TTAGCAATTTAGAAACATGGACTGAGTTTATTTCTGGTTTAGGGTAGCTCTGACACCCTATAATATACAAGCTGACTTTAATTTGAGAAAGATGCTATACATGCTTCTGCTCCCCTTTATACTGTAGCAGCATTTCAATGAGGGTATTTCAATTCCTTGTCTGGGTAGAGTACACCATAGGTATACTTTACTGATAGACTAGTATGTGGTCTTGGGGAAATCAGTCCTGTGAAAGAAGTAGGCTTCTTAAAAGTACATTGACATGCCCTTTCATTTATTGAAACTGTGTTTGAGTTTATTAACAGATCATGCTAGATGTTAACTGCTGTTAAAAGTAATAAAAACTCTAGAGAAATTGAAGCATAAGGTTGATTGAGAGCACTTATATGCATATAAAAAGATCATTCTGAGTGCTGTAAAGAGCAAATGGCTCCAAGTTTGCTACTTACAATAAAGCTCTTAGAGAAAAGAGAGAAGAGGAGAAACTCAATCATTGGCCAATCTTAATGTGATTGATTGGCCCCTCCCTTTCCCTGTTACTGCGGTCAAGTCTGGACCTTAACCTACTTTCAACCACGACATTTGAAGTTCAAATATATGAAGACTTACAATGGGAAAAAAGAAGGGGGAAAAAAATCAGTAACCATGGATGAAAGGAAATCCATGGGCAGGGTTAATTTTGGTCAGGGATTTCTTTACAATGACTATTTGTTTTACTGAGTAAGAAAACTTTTGAATCGAAGTAAGATATTTATTATAAATTTTCTTTTTTCTTTTCAGAAGCCTTCCTGTTGCTTTTTCCAAATAGAAAACTCATCACGTTGATTCGTCTCGTAGTGACTCTAAAGGACAGAGTAGAACTGTTCCTCTGGTCTTCTTTATAGGTACATATTTTACTCAAAATACCTCATTTGCTGTATTTTTTTTTTGGACTCTAAATTCAGAATTGTTCAAATCAATTGTGTAAGACTGGATGGACTCAAAGAGCTGGGCTGTATCAATATAAACCTGATGAAAAGGTGGGCAAGAAATGTATAATCTTGCATGAAGAATATTTCTTTATTTTCCTTTGGATGTTTAACATACAAATCTTTTTTTTTTAATAGAATTCTGATTCCAGCTATGTTTTACATTACTGCACAGTGCTCTCCATAAAACTCAGATATGCCCACTGGTAAGCTTTTAAGACATATATCCTTAAAATTTATATTATTTAATTATTCTGAAGTTTGGATTATTTTAAAGGTTTCCTTAACACACTAATGAATAAAGTGAGTGCTATTGACCGAATATTTCAATTTGAGCTATTTGAAAGCTTGATAATTAAGGTTAGTATATTTTACAAGTTCAACTTGAAGCAGAAGATAATGAAAACAAGCCCACATGAGCCAGAGGATGACATTGACAGTATCTTACCCAAATGTAGAGGCCATCTAAAGAATAGATTTGATCCATGGGATACTGTTGACTGAAAACCAAACTTGTTTTAGAATACGTCAAGGATATCCTATGAGGGGCCTTCCAAAATTTGGTAGGAAATTTGAGTGAAACGGTAAATGGAATTTTTCCAGGAACTTTGTGAAGCACCTTCATATATAAAGGAAGCAAACAGTCATTAAAAGGACAAATGGGGAAAAAAATTAACACTGATATCCAAAGACATTTTGTAACTTGCTATTGAATGTAGAATAGCTAAAGTAAATGTAAGCAATAATGAAGTAAAAGCTGAGCAGAAGATTTTCAGGGCAGCTCAAGAAGACAAAGTAAAATATTATAAAGGAAGAGAACACTTGGCATTTCTATAACTGAAGACAAAAATTCATTCAGTATTGAAGAATCCAAGTTCAACAATGCAGGAAGCGTCAAACAAAGATGAAAGGGATACACTGCCCAAAATAACTGGTTGATGTCAACTAGTTCTGGAGGTAGCATAAGCTAAGGGCCAATGGTACTTACGGAAGAAGTTCAAGCGGCATTGGTGAAAAATGACTCTTAAGAATTGATGGCCGGGCACCATCAGCTTTCTTCGCCACATTTGCTTATGCACCCATTTGTCTTCAGTGATCCGTTCGACACCTTGTGATCACACAGGCTGATATGTTGTTCCATGTGGGCTTTGTTGCTTCTGAGCTAGATGGCTGCTTGTTTACCCTCAAGCTTTTAAGACCCCAG